TGCTAGTTACCTATTTTCAGAAAATTTTAAAATTAGGGTTTAGGGTGTAGAATCTTACCTCTAGAATGAAGACCTAGTGAGCTTCCCTTCTTAATCTTCCAAAACTTGAGCAAGAATTGAAGAAAAATTATTGAAGAACACCTTCTCACTCTAGAATATCAGATTATGTCTCAAAAATGACCCAAAGAGTGTATTTAACGAAATAGGGTCGGGTTTTAAAAACCCAAAAATGAAGCTCCGGAACAAGGTATGCGATCGCATATGCGATCGGATAACCGATATGCTGATCGCATATCGGTCGCATAATTGGTTACAAAATAGCCAAAAGAACTGTCTGAGTATACGGTCACTATGCGGTCCGTATAACTGTTATGTGGTCGCATAATGCATCGCATAACAGTTATGTGGTCGCATAGTCGACCGCATAGTTGCTTCTAACTGACCCAATTAACTGCCTCACTATGCGGTAATTATGCGGTCCGCAGAGTGGTTCTGCGGTCGCATAATGGACCACAGAAATGCACTTTTTCGCCAAAAATTTTTCTTTACTTTCCGGTGCATTGTTCAACCCAAAAAGTCTGAGCCGCTGCTCGCAAGCTCGCAGCAAAGAATTTCTACAATCCTCAAACACGTAAGCCTAGTCTGGCACCATGAAATATTATTTTCTTTGCAAATTTTACTGGGCTTTACACTTAAGTACTTCAAAAATTTTCGGGGTATTACACCACCCCACAAGGTGATCTTTGAATTCATCAACAAGTGTGTGTTGCCAAGGCAGGAAAGGAGGCATATTGTAAATTATATGGACTTGGTCTTGATATAGTGTATGGACAGTGGGAGGCAGATAAACTGGCCTGGGTTCATCATTCAGCTTTTGGACAGAGTTGTCAATGGCTCCAAAGCCCATGCCATTCCTTATGGTTTCATCCTCACTTCTGTTCTTGCTCATTATAAGGTGCCATTGAATAAGGCGGAGATGGCCACAAGCAAAGACCATTTTGGGATCAATACTCTTCTTGCTTGTGATTATGAGATCCATGTCAACCCCAATGAACCTGGTTCATCGAAAAGGACACATGAAAACAGTAAGGTCAGAGCCCTAGTGCAAGAGAGTGGGGCAAAGGATGCTGAGATTGCAAGGCTGAAGACTCGTTTGGCTGAGGTTGAATCTGAGAGGGATGTTCTCATAGTTGAGCTTACAAAGGAAAGGGAGAAGAATTAGGGAATTCGTCACGATATGTTGAATCTTCTCTAAGCCAAAACCCTAGCCCCTAGTTCTTCCAAGCCTTAGTTGCCTAAAAATTTAGTGACCCAGATTCGGGACTTTTTCTTTTTTGTTGCTCATGCTTTAAATGTTTTTGTTTCATTTTGTGGATTGTGGAAGAGCCGTACTTTTTATCAATGAAATTTGTTGCTCTTGTTCTTATGCACTGTCTCTATTTCCTTGATAGTTTGAATTCTTAGTTGATTACTGATGATTGATCCATGAATGCATTTGCAGTTGCCCCAGTGGCCATGAGTAATTTTTATAAAATCTGGGACTCACACATCTTTTTGCAACTTTTTGATGATGCCAAAAGGGGGAAGATGTGCTCTGAACATGTGATATTTATAACCTAAATGACCCTGGTTCTTTATGATAAGTGCTTAATACTCTAATATGTGTCAATATTGGATTAAGTTGAAACAGGCCTAAGCTTATGGACGCACAAAGTTTGTCATCATCAAAAAGGGGAAATTTGTTGGCCCAAGAAAGAGAATAGTTTTGAAGATTGACAAAGGAACTCTGATATGAACCAGGTCCATCACTGGCAGACATAGACACCGGTAGAGTCAAGGCACGTGAGGTGAACATGTAGGAGATAAGCGTATTCTGGTAGAATGAGATATCTCCTGATCGAAAAGATTGCAAAAACAATAAGGAGAAGGACTCCTTATTCAGTAAGAACAATATCTAAGATAAGGAAGGATTTAGGAGTTGAGTTTAACTAGAACTCTTCCACCAAGGAAGAGTAGCATTAGGATTCTAGTTAATTCTCTATCTACTAACTCATATATATTGCAGAATGTTCTTATTGTACAGTAATGCACAAAAGCAGAAGTTAAGCAAGAATTGAGAGCAAAATAGCGAGGCAATTTTGCAAGCAGTTCGAGTGATATTTGAGTGTGCGAATCTGACGCTACTTGAACCAGCTAGAAAAACCAGTTCAACTGTTGTCTTTTAGTCTAGTTATTTGTAGTAGGTGGTTTTAACTTGTACCTTTTCAGCTTTATCTAGAAGCGTCTGTAGTAGGTACGTTGTGTTTCAAGTTAGAGTTAACTTGAAGTTTGTCGCAAATAGCTAGAGGCTAGTTTGCTACAAAGGGTTAGAGGTAATCCTAGGTTTACAAAAGAGTTTTTGTAAATGTTGTTTTGGCTCACTGATTTAGTAAAGAGTTTTGGAAAAATTCTACTGGGAAGTAGTTCGTGGTTTTTTCACCTTTTGAGCCAGGTGTTTTCCACGTAAAAATCTTTGTGTTCTTTATTTTTTGTACTTATTATTCCGCAAAAGTAGTAGTTGGAACACATAGAAGAACCAGATCCTTCTATAATCTGTGCATGCGAAAAATTGGACACCACACAAATCAGCCCCTCTTGTGTGGTATTTACGTATAAAACACCACTAATATAGCAGAGAAGTGATTAAAAGATCTCAACATTGCCTGAATGGAATCCTGATCAGTCCCAAGTAGATCATCAGCAAAGCATATACGAACCAAGTCAATTACTACTATTTTTACCAGATTGCATATTAATAATTTATTATAAAGTCTTTTGCACTAGAGAAACAGGGGGAAAATTTTTTTACTATACCAATATACTTTAATTACTCAAGGCAAAATACTTATTGAACAATCAGTCTAAGCTTACAATAGAGTTTTATGTGCACTCGTTTTGTAAAATAAAATAAAATCGTAGTGTTACACAATCAGTGTAGTTTTTTTAAAAAAGAAAAATTGCATTTATGTAACTTACACCTTGCATGTATAATGTTAGAAAGCTAGAATCTTTCATGCTACATTATTTAAAATCGAATGTATTTAATATATAGATTTAATTAATTAGTACACCCACCAACCTAGTGCTGATAAGTTTATCACCAAGCCCCTTTGACCTCAGGTCCTGATCAGTTGCACGTGCTTCGCCACTACATATATGATGATTAAGTTGTATTTCGCAAGTAATAATCTTTTTTCTGCATCCAAAACATTGTCGAATGGCTTCCATAATTCGGTTTGCGGTATCTAATTTTCATGCTTGAGGAGTTTTTGCACCATCCAAAGTGCGATGAATATTATAATTCTGCACAATATTTTGTCCCTGGTAAGTAAGAGTGTTCATGGTTCGGTTTAGATCGATTTTTCCCTAAAAAGAAACCAAATCAAGTAAGTCGGTTCTTCAAATATTTGAACCAAACCAAACCAATTAAATCGATTAAAAAATCGATTCGATTTTTGTCGGTTTTTCGATTTTTTCCGTTATTTATCGGTTTTTTCCCTTAAATATGAGACATACACTACCAAACATATATGTCGCATACTACATTTTCAACGTAACATTACCAAATCAATTGTTTTTTGAGAAATCTATCATTTACCAAGATGTATTAATGATAATTGAATAAAATAGTGATGAATAATTTAATTACTAAATTAAAAATTGATTATTTTTAACAAAAAATAAATTCTTGTATTTAGCAAAAGAAAACTACCATTCAAACTAGAATGTAAAAGTAAAGAATTAGATTATTATAATAGCAAAGAACTAGACTAAAAATACAAACGACTAATTGTTCCATAAAATTTTAAAAACTTTATATAAAAATATACATATATGTATAGGTGTAAATAATAATTTAAATAGCTACTTCTATAGTCGGTTTGGTTCGATTTTTTCTGTTATTTATTTATTTAAACCAAAATCAAACCAACTTTGATCGGTTTTTAAAATTCAAAACCAAAACCAAACCAAACCTAAAAAATATCAGTTTTTTTGATCAATTTAATTCGATTTTCGGTTTGGTTCGATTTTTTGGATTTTTATGAACTCCCCTAATTGTAAGGGTTATCCTCAATACTGTACCCACCACATTACACCAGAACAGAGAAAAATTACTTACGCGCACCAAGTATTTTGCACCAGATCAAAAAATTTAACTTTAAAAATATATACTAAAGTGAATACAAATCACTTACTGATACGTAAGTGATAGCTTTCTGTAAAAAACAAAAACAAAATACATCTTGCATTCATTCGTTTATATAAAACTCTAGGATTGGTTAAGTTGATTTTTCCGCAGACAAGTGGTGGAGTGGAGCATTCGTCCCACCAACAACACCCTCAAACCTCCTCAAAATACAATAGAAAACCTTACACCAAAAAGTAACTACTGTCCTGCCTTAATTACATCTAGTTCGAATCAACTAAGTACATGAATTCTAACTATCATTTTGAATTCAAGTGGTTAGAATTCATGTACTTAGTTGATTCGAACTATCATTTTACAACAGGAAACTACCTTTCATCAAATAAATCTCAGAACTGCAAAAGAAAACAGAACTACAAAATTCTTCAAGTTTTTTGTTTCCAAGTAGAGTTTGGTTGATCGATGCATGTCCCAACATAAGCCTTCGTTTTTTATAGCTTTTCATGTAGGGTGACCACTTGGAACAGGTCCTCATCACGGTTCTGTCACTATAACCAACGCAATTGACTAATATGTTACCCTATGAGAAAAACTAACCCCCTCAATTCTTTAGTTCTTCTTACTCCCAGGGTTAGCGGAAGAAGTTATTGATGTTCTAGCTATTCAGAAGAAAATATCGGCCAATGTCCTAATAGCCCAAGTTATTCAGCGGCAGACCACAAAACGCATGTATATGGACACTTTGTTTGTTACTCATGAATCCATGTTAGCTCATCACTAAGCAGTACGCACAGGGGCAAGCTCGCAAACTTAATTGTTGCAAGAAGGATGGAGTTAATAATTAATTCGCTTATACAAAAATTATACAAGGTGGGAAGTCCCACGGGTCACAGGCATTTAATGCGAAACGTTTAATAGGAACATGCTAAGCTACTTCATATACAAGGATTACCCTACAGCAGCACGGACACCGTCAGCTATTCTTCTTCCGCTTCCTCAAATTTGGCATTGCACGAAGAAACACCGAACCAAGAACATAATCATTGTCCTCCGTATTTTCTTGGTACGATGATACCTTGTGACAAGTACTATTAGTCGCGTTGTCTAAATCTTGCTCGTTTTCAGATGCACCTATCCTTGCATCACATTGCTTCTTACTTGTTTTCGCTGAGGGGCTAGAAAGAAACTGGTTTGAAGCAGTACCACAAATCTCATCTCCCAAAAGCTGAGAGGAATTATTAATATCAGAACACTCAACTGATAGGATAGGACTAGACGCATTTATCTCATGCTCCATAGCTCCATCATCTTCCTCTGAGCAAAACCCACCCCCCATTTTAAGGTACTCATTAGACAAAAGATTCCCAGGAACAGGATCGTCCATTTCACCAAAACTTGGCTGAACAGCGGATTCCATCTCTGCCCCACCCGTGTCGACATCAGCACTTGTTTCAGGGTTTGACAGTCCTTCTGGACAGTAATCATTACTTACATCATTCTCAGTCATGTTGCTAGAATCATCAGGACAACGCTCAGCTATGCCCACATCTGCTCCTGATTCTCTCCTTTCCAACTTGTCAGTAATAGAATCTCCATCATCTTTGTCAACTTTATCAGAGTCATCATCTCTTCCCTCACTGTAATTTACTATTTTCCGATGACGCTCTGACTGAAATTTCAATTAGAACGAAGCGGAGAGAATATTAAAAGTCATGAACTGGAGGTCTCAAGTAAAACACAACAGAAACTGACATTTTCCCTTGAACCATGAATATGTACAAAGTGAAAAGTAATGAGTCATTTAGTTTAGAAGTATGTGGATATTGTTTCAAAATTCGTGCATATACTAGCAATGACACCTGAAGAGATTTTTGAAATTGCAAATTATCGAGATAGCAAAATGAAGCAAGAATTTAAGACAACAGGCAATCAAACCACCATCATCAACAATTTTCACATGCAATATGAACCATGAGTAATTTTTCATACATCACATGTAACAAAACATTATAATTTTTAAACACCATAAATATAGGATTTGCAGAAGCAGAATATCATAAACATAAAGCTAGGACTTGCAGAAGCAGCTTGGAAACTATTGACATGAGAGGATGGAATAATTCAGCTCTAATTCTTTCTGGAATTCTCAGAAACATAGGAATTCAGTACAGGTTAGAGAAACAGTAAACAAGGCAAAGGTGACTTGACATTAGCACCAGCGCAATGAGTATCTTCCCTATACTATCTCAATATATAGCATCTCAATGAGCTCTGGAAAGACAGTGTTAATGTTTTTCAATTTCGCTAAAAGGTGCAGTCATGAAGAGTTAAAATACAATTAGTGTTGCAAGAAAAAGGACTTACTCTTCTTGCTTGCTTTGGCTTTTCAAGCTTCTCAATTTGTGATTGTTGCTCTATATCATTATCTTTTTCCCCCTCAGAGCTTGTTTTGAAGGATCTGGAACAGGATTTCTTACTTGCCTTCCCCGCAGATCGAGCTGTTTTCCTTCCTCCTCCTATACCACCACTTGATTTCTTATTGGTGTTTTGCTTGCTTCCTGATCCCTCTGGTGGCTCCAAATGTTCAGGCTGCAAATGCTCTCCTTTCCTTTTTCTTGACTGCTTTCCAACTGATCTTTTTGTTTTAGTCTCCTCATAATCAGCACCAGCAGACTCTAGTCCCATCAAAGGATCCTCTATCTTTTCCTCCTCCACATTATTAAATTTTAATTCTCTTTTTTTAAAGGTGCCAGGAGCATCTTGTACACTTGCATCCATTAAATTCATGGAGTTGTTTCCTGTCATATGTTTAACAGCCTTTTTTATCCTCTTGCTACGAATTTTTGCAAATCTCTCATTGAAAGTGTAGAAGGCTTCCAGTCGAAGTTGTGTCTACATCAAGTAAACAAAGGAACATTGAGAGAAAAGTTCTGCATCAGCTTCCTCTTTTTCCAATCAGACAAATTAACACAAAATGAAAAAACATTAAGTGCAGAGCACATAAGAAAGAATAGAAGTGAACTCATGTTTGTATTATCATAGAAGTCATTCCTTTATATCAAGAGAGACATGCCAATTAACGTGCTTAGTGTACATCCATTTGCTTTTAAATTTTGGTGACAGGTAGGGGAAGCTGAAAAAGGATCAACCTCATGTTTGTTATACTCTTTCAGAACCGGTACTAGCAATTCATCTGCTTTCTGGCTGCTCCAACCGAATTTCTCCCAACAAACTCTGCAACAAACAAATGTTCATTTAGAGTCATATATAAATCTCAAATCCTCACTAGACCATTAGAAGAAAAAATCAAATACAACTCACTTGCGAAGCACAGAAACATCAGGCTTCCCCCATGCAAAAGGCTCTGTTGACTTGTCAACCCGTGGAGAAGCATATGCTGAAATCACAGCATCACTCGGAAACGAGGAAGGAATATGCCAGTTTTTACTAATATTTCTCTGTGAACACAGTGCCAATATAAAGAAAGAGTAAGATCATGCTTTTCCAATCAAATAGACAACAGATTTGAAGCAAAAGGACACAATGTTTTACATGTTTATTCATGAAAATCTGCTTCAACTTTTGAACTCTATCCTCAGACTTGACATTTTCATCAGACGCGGAATTGCCTTCCACATTGCTGCTTGAGCAACTCATATCAGGATCACCAACTTCACTCCCTCTCTTCCTAGTGCTGGAACTTGCCTGTGCATCAAGCCCCCCAAGAATGGACGGATCTGGCGATTCCACCCACTCCCGAAATTTCTGAAGACCGTCTTCCTCAGGAAATGCATTTAGAACTTCAATGGCATTAACAATACCAATCCCACTGCACCATGGCAAAAAAAATGGATCAGGACTTCTGCATATCTCAGACAAAGCAAAGTTGCTCCACATATAAGAACTGTAGTATCTATAGTTCCCTGATGAGAATATGCAAACAAGACTAATTGCTGTAGTAAAAAAGAGAGGCAGATACACCTGTTAGCAGGATACGGCACTCTGTAAAAGAGCCACAAAAGCAGGCTTACCTCACTCCTTCAGTATAATCGCTCCCAAGGAACAATGCCATACGAATTATTTTTTCTCTATCCAACCCAAGCTCATTCTCCACATCCTATAAACAGCAGATATGTCATCAACTACAGGCACTATAAATGAAAGGAAACTACAATACTCTGTCAGAAATGAGACATTGACCCCGCAGTGTACCACCAACCTCAAAACCTTTTTTTTCCTTTCCCTCTTTATTTTTTCTTTTTCTTTCTTTTGTTTTG